AAATTTCTCCAGGGATTTCCCTGATTTCCTAGTATTTAACGTCTGCAGAATAGTAAGATACATGTTCCAGCACAACAAGCAAGCTGACTCTTCAGAATGCGTAATGTGTGATATCCATTATTACAGGTGGAAATAAAAATGAATAGTTCATCGTAATAGTCAGTACGGCAATATATGGGAAATTTTATACCCATTGTGGACTCTATGATGTTGCTTACTCTGTTCCCTCTTTCTAGAATGTTCTTAATCCCTTCATTTACCTATAGTCCCTCAATTCTTCAGGTTCTATTCATTATTTATAAGATACCTGACACCCTAAGTGATCATTAATTATTCTTATTATTGAGTACCTGGAGTATTTGTGATACTAGAGCAGGGGTTGGAAAACTTTTCTTGTTAAATGTCGGATTGTAAATATTTTAGCTTTGCAGGCCATATGGTCTCTACTGCAACATTCTGCTGTTGTGTGAAAGCAGTTTTAGACAGTCATAAATGGATGAGTGTGACTGTACTCCAGTAAAACCTTCCTTACAAAAGCAAGCTCCAGGCTGCATTTGGTCTGTGGGTCCAAATGTAGGTTGCTGACCTCTGTATTTGACATTTCTTGGAGTTTTTAGCGCCTCAGAAGAAACCTAGCTAAATTTCCTTATATTATGTGGGAGTCACCTGTATGAAAGGGGTTAAGTGACAGCATTGAAATACAAGCTGGTATTGTTCTCTTTTTTTATGTTTAATTACTTTATGTGGGTTCATTTTGCCATTCATGGGGGAACAGACCATTTTTTTTCTTTTTATTGCCCAAAGTGGTTAGAACAGTACAAAGCATAGAGTAAGATCTCAGTAAATATTTGTGATTAATCCTTCAGGGAAAATACTACGAATGTAACATTTTTCTTAATTAAATATGTATATATTATGTTTCAGTTTAGAAGACTGTGAGATTGCCCATGCTTAAATTCTGATAATAATTTTACAGCTACCTTTAAAAAAAAAGAAATAATTTCTCACATTTGTTCTTAACTTTTCTGTACCTAATTTTATTCTAATTATGGTCATTAGAATTATACAATTTTCAAATTTTATTATTTTAATTTTTAAACCTATTTTAATTGATTTTCTTAACTGAAAATTCAAATTTTTGCTGTTAAGATGATCACTTTGTTACAGATGTCAGTATTTTTAAATGTAATAAGGATAAACTATCTTCAGGATTTGTGAATTCTATACTTAAATTCTAAATCTAAATTAGCTAATAAATGATTTAACCAATTACTTACCAACTTTAATTACTTTCAATGCAACAATATAAATGCATTGAATGCTTGCTTTTAGAAAATGTGTCATTCATTATTATCAGGTATAAGCTAGTCCTCCTGAGAAGGTTTGGACTAGAAAAGTTTCTCCCACCATGATCCTGTTATTTCTAATAGGACTCTCCTCCTCATTTCCTTCAGATCACTCCTCAAATGTTACTGATCAAAGAAGCTGTTCTTGACAAGGAAGCACGAAACAGCAACTACACGTTCTTAACGTAATGGGAACATTAGAGTAACACTCCAGTTAAATGCAGAATTTATGTCAAAAATTATTTTAAAAACAGACAAAAGAATCAGAAAAA